TGTCTTAAATCAACCTCTTGGGATATAAAAGAGCAGACTAAACAAATAAGCAAGCAAGCACAAATGGAGGAGATACATACCACATGATTGCCAAGGGACCTAGGAATAGAAGCTGAAAAGAGACAAGGACCTTCCCCGAGAGCAGAAGCATAGAGAACCTTCTCCTAGAGCTGCCACCCTGAATTTGGACTTCTAGCCCCTAAACTGTGAGGAAATAAATGTCTGCTTGTTAAAGCCACCCAATTGTGGTATTTCTGTTATAGCAGCACTGCGTAACTACGACAAGGGGGCAGATCTGTGATTGAAAGCAAGCAAAGAAGGGAAACAGTTTCATTGTCATAGAATTTCATGAAACTTCTTAATCTTAAGAGTATCTGGGGACATGAGCAGATACCTAACAACCCAGCTTTGCAGAGGCCCAGAAAAATCTTTGGATAAAACTTGTATTTTGCCACAACTGGTGTTCACATTCAAAGACAAGAGCAGTGAATAAGGAGGGGAAGACAGACAGCTAGGAAGGACAACTAAGAGTTGAAGAGAAATTGCCAGGAGTGAGGAAGAATTCAGAAATTGTAGGTCAAACAGACACCAGGATCTAGATATTGACGAGAGCAGCGGTACTGTACCATTTTGTATTCCCACAAGAAAATTACAAATATTGGTGAGGATGTGGGGAAATTGGAATCCTTACCCATTGCTGGTGGGAATGAAAATTTGTATAGTCAGATATGTGGCTTTGATACATACTACAGTATGGATGGAGCTAGAAGATGTTATGCTGAGCGAAATAAGTAAATCACGAAAGGACAAATATTTTATCAACTCACTTATATAAAAAGCCAAGAAAAGGCAAATTTACAGGCAATAAAATTTATTGATGGTTACCAAGCCTGGAGAGGGCAGGGAGGGATTAAAGGTAATGGAAATATCACATTAATTAAGGGTAAGGTTGCACAGCCACTTACTGTAATTGCTGTCAGTAAGTTGCACACCAGTAAAAAGTTGAACTGCCAAAAGTTGTGTGATAGATATATTTACCACCACAACAACAAAAGATTAGATGCTGAGGTTGCTTATGTAGAACCAAAAACCTCGTGGGATTTGGTTTTCTGCTTTGGAAGTTTAGAGTCATGGTTTCATGGTACATCACACTTAACTGGCCGAATAGCATGTTTACCGCTTCTGTTCTACCTCCTAGTTTGATGTGTAGTGAGTGTCTGTGGTCTTAAATGCTAGCAAAGGCCATCCAAAGCACAATTGGTCTCTATTTGCAGGGAACAACAGAGGAAGGAGGTCAGGAATAGGAGGAGGATATGGAATGTATAGCCAATTGTCTCTATGAACAATTGCCTTTTTTGCCGTGAGAACTGAAGAACTGGATGGTGCCCAACTACCATTACTGAACATTTTGATCAAAGATTCCATAGAAGAATCGTGACGAAAAGGGGAAAAAAATGCAAAACAGAGTTTTAAATTCTCATGTACTCCAGACTTTCTGGAGCCATGAAGATTGGATGAAGCCCTGAAACTATTGCCCTGAGATAATCTTTAAACCATAAATTGAAAATATCCCTTGAAGATTTCATACAAGCAAACAAGAGTCTAGCTGAATTGATACAGAAATGTCTGAGTTGAGCATTACGCTCTTTTAAGAACTATCACCATGGGATCGAATTGATAACAACAACTTAAAAGATTATGGAGAAACCTTGCAGGCAGTGAATTTATGTTAATGGAAGAGAAAGAATTCAGAAAAGGAGGGTGAGAATGGTGACACAACTCAAAAAATGTAATTAAGGTCACTAAATGGTACTTTCAGAAACTGTTGAGTTTATGTATATTTTGCTGTGTATATTCTTGACAATGATAAAATAAATTGAATTCTATAAAAACAAACAAACAATAGTTTAGCTTAGCTAGTAAAAATAGCCTGCCTTTGACATTATGCTTTTTTTTTTTTTTTTTTTTAAGAACTATCTGTGTAGGAAGGATCAAATTAAAAACAGTTACTTGAAAGAATAGGTAGGAGCCTTATGGGGCAATGAGTTTATGTTAATGGGGAAGGAAAAACTCAGGAAAAGGGTGAGAATGGTTGCACAACTTGAAGAACATCATCAATGTCACTGAACTGTACATGTAGAAACTGTTGAATTGGTATATGTTTTGCTGTGTATATTCTCAACAACATAAATAAATAAATAATAATAATATATAATAGTATTATATTATATAATAATATTTTAGATAATAAAATAAATAGTAATAATAACAACAATAATAAAAGGTCTTTCTATTCATCAACAACTGGAGAATCAAGGCACTAAGATTTGTCTTTCCTCTAAATATGACCTACTTGCTTTGTCTGCATGGACTGCTTAGCGCAGAATTTAGCTATTGCAGATATACATATATGTAATGTGTGTTTGGGAGCTCTGGTAGCGTAGTGCCTAAAGGCACTTGACTGCTAACCAGAAGGCTGGTGGTTCAAGCCCACCAGCCACTCCTCGGAAGGAAGATGGGGCAATCTACTTCCGTAGTGATACTGCCTCGGAAACCCAAGGAGGGGTCGCTATGAGTTGGGTCCAACTTGACGGCATATAACAACACAACAATGTGTGTTTATGTGTTTGAATCCTCACAAGAACCATGAAACATAATATTTCTGTTTCACAAGGGACACAGGTGAAATCAGAGAGGGTAGGCCACCTGTCCAAATACACTCAGCTAATAAGTAATAGAGCTATCTTCAAATCCAACACCTATTCTATGTGGCTAAAAATTCTAAGACATTACTAGGGAAAATTTCAAATAAATGCAAAAGTAGACAGAACAGAATAATGAACTCTTTTGTACTCATCATGCAGATTCAATGATTATCAATCTACAGCCAATCTAGTTTCATCTGTACCCTTGCTTGCTAAACCCAACATTGCATAATTTTGAAGCAAATCCCAGACATCATAACACTTCATCCATAAATATTTCAATATGAATATCTAAAAAATAAGGACTGGAAAATTTTCCTTCTTTTTCCTCTTTATACCAAGATATCCTAAATAAACAAATTCATAGGTACAATAAATTAGCTCTGTAGTCTCCAAAAATATCCAAACTGGCTACCAAATTATTTTAAAATGTCATGTAGAAAATGATGGAGATTGAGCTCAGTCATTAAGAGTTCCTGGGACACTAATCTAAAGATGGACCAGCATTGGCAAAGATGTGCAGCAACTGAAACCCTCACACATTGCTGATGGGGATGTAAAATTTTCCCACTTCTTTGCAAATCAATTTGCATTTTCTCAAAATGTTAAGCATAGAGTTAACCATACAATGCACAATTCTAGCCTAGGCATAAACCCAAAAGGAAGGAAAACCTATGTTTAAACAAAAACTCTTATACAAATGCTCATGGCAACATTATTCATAGTAGCCAAAAGGTGAAAACAATCCGTATGTCTGTTAACTGACACATAGATAAACAAAATGTGGTATATCCATGTAATGGAACACTATTTGGCCGTAAAAATAAATGAAATCCTGATAAAATGATTGTCACTGAATTGTACATGTAGAAAATGTTGAAATGATAAATTTTTTGTTATCCTATATCCCAATTAAAAAATTAATTAAAAATAAATGAAGTAATAATATTCACTGCAGCACTATTCACAGTAGTCAAAAGGTAGAATCATCCTGAGTGTCCATCACCAGATGAATGCATAAATATGTTACTTACTCACAATGGAACATTACTCAGTCATAAAGAGAAGTAAAATCCTGATATATGCTACAATATGGATGAACCTTGCAAAGATGATGCTAATTGAAAAAACCCAGTCATAGAACACTGCATATTACATGATTCCTTACATGTGGACTGTTCAGAACATGCAGATCTATAGAGACAGAAACTAGATTCATTGTTACTAGGGGGGAGGAAGTTAGGGAAAATGGGGAGTGACTGCTAATGGGTACAAGGTTTCTTTATGGGAGGATGTTCTAAAATTGACTGTGGTAATAGTTGCACAACTCTGTAAATATATATATATATATGTATATATATGTATGTATGTATATGAACACTGAGTTGTACAATTGAAATTGGTGAACTGTTTGGTGTATGATTTTTATCTCAATAAGCTGTGGAAAAAAGAAAAGTAAAAAGTAAGAATGCTAGATTAGCAGATTCTGACACAGGACTGTGCTATACTTGGTGGAGGAGACCAGGGAGCTTGCGCTCAAGCTACAGACTGAGGGAGAACTCACTGGATACATGATGCTCCAGCATATGTCAATGGCCTGGAAAGCTTCCATAAGTGATCTATTGAGTCATTCAGTGCCACTCTTTTCTTTGGTAGAGAAGAACTATTTGCAGCTGACTGTAGCATAGGATTCTTTCTGAGCATTGCCCCGCTTGTGGCTTCCTGCAGAGGTAAGTCCCTTAGAGATTATCTATCCTTGACCTAATTCTTAGAGATGTAATGAGATTGGAGACTTCTTATCATCATTACTCACTGCCATCGAGTTGGATCTGACTCATAGCAACTCCTCCTTGGGTTTCTGAGGCGGTATCACTACAGAAGTAGATTGTCCAATCTTCCTTCTGATGGATTTGAACCACCAGTCTTCTGGTTAGCAGTCAAATGCCTTAAGCACTATGCCACCAGAGCTCCCTCTTATAGTCATTAGTCAACTTAAATCCCAAACAAGTCTGTCTCTGAAACAATACAGTCAGCACATGTCATCAAAATCTCCATTTGGAGATATATATATATATATATCCCCCAATTTATACCATGGAAGGGGTAGTAAGCTGTCCCAAATGACTGAGTTTTAATTTCCTGCCATCAAAAGTTGGTACTTCTCTTGCATCTGACTTATACTTGCTCTAAGAGTGTCCTTAATACTCTAAAAAAAAAAAAAAAAGAATACTCATAGAAGAAGTACCAGGATATGGTAGTACTAAAAATGAAATTAAAATCTAGTCCAATACTCACTTCCATGCTTAGGTCATCACTCATCCTGATATAATCTGAAAGGTCTGTTCCTGGGTGGAGGCCACCAATGGGGCCTGGGCACCTGGCAGTAGAAGGTACAGTTACTGATTACAGAGAGTAAAACTGAAAGTTTACCTCAAACATAAGGAACTCATTTTTTTAAAAAACAGATACCCAACCAACATAGTTTTCTCGCTTCTCAGTTTTACTAAATTTCTAATTAAGTTAATGACTTAAGTAACATACACTGAAAAAGAGCTCCCACCACTGTCAGGGAGAGGTTAATGACCACAGAGAGGCCAGCCAAAAATGAAAATGAAGAATTTGCAATTCAAAGTCTTGCTTCCTCACCCTCAATACAGAAAGGAAATTCCTTTTGGATAGATAGTGCCCACAAACTCAGCTGATGTTCCTGAACTTTCCTAAGGATGGTCAGTCAGTGTACTTACAAAGGCAAGTAAGCACAGAAGTATCAGGAGTATCCGTGGGTGTGGGGTGTGGCGACAAGCATAGGCTCCCAAAGATTTGTTTATTTTCTAAGGGAATTGAAATATGACCAAAATCTACATGACTAAGAAACAATCAAATAAAAAAACTTGACTAAGTACTTAGCAATATGTAGCATGTTCCTGAAAACTGAAATAGTAGGTAGCCTAATTTGTCTTTTAAATTGTAGAATTTATATTATGAAAAGAAAACCTACACTTTAAGAAAGCTATTGTAATGTTTTTGATTTTAAATGGTTGATTTTCAGAAAGTTAAAGAAGTTCCACAAATAAAGAAAATATGTTACAATCTCAGGATATTAAAATCTGATTAAAATGTTAAACAATGGGATTAGGCCATCTATGAAGACTAGGGTAAAAAAAGAACACTGCCTTTGGGTCGATCTCAACTCACAGTGACCCCCATTGGGTTTCCAAGGAGGTAAATCTTTACAGAATTACATTGCCCCATCTTCCTTCTGCGGAGCGGCTGGTAGGTTTGGACTGCCAACCTTCTGGTTAGCAGTCAAATGCTTTAGGCACTGTGCCATCAGAGCTCCTTATGAAGAGTAGGGTGAGTAAATTGTGCTTTATTATCTTACTTTTGTCCTCTTGTCACATCCAAAGCACCATCGTTTATTTCCCCATGTTTTAATCTTTCACGTGAAGCACGGTTTCGATTGGCTACATATGAGAAAAGTGTCAGTCTCAGTCTTGGAATCCCTGTAAGGCTGTCCAGATGTAAAGCATCTGCAGAAGAGGTAAGAATGAAAAGAGTTTAATTTCTGGTTTAGATTTTGTTAAAGTATAAATTCTCCTCTTGAGAGATTGGTCATTTCTGAAACTCTTATGTAACATAAATGCTTGAATATCTAGTTACACATATGGAAATACCAAATATATATATACATATTTTAAAAAAGGAACAGAAAAACCCTTGCCAACTAAGCAACTAGAGGGGTTAGCAAACTGCAGCATGCTAGCCAAATATAGCCAGCCTCCTGTTTTTATTAGTACCATTTTATTGGAACACAGCCACACTCATTCATTTACATATTGTCCCTAGCTGCTTTGGTGCTACACAACAGAGCTAAGTAGCTGCAACAGAGACCACACGGTCCCTAAGGCCTAAAATATTTACTACCTGGCCTCTGCAGAAAAAGTTTACCAACCCGTAAGAAGAAAAGTGTTAGGCAGCATGATTAGAACCCATCAACGAGTGCTGCAGGAAACAAGGTAGCATTCCGGTCTTTTCGGGAAACCATCTAGTTGTGTGCTTCAGAGTCTAATAAGCAGCAGAGTAATGGAAATTCTTTTACATATAAAGTGACGCAGGATCTTAGGCAAATTACTAACTCTGTGTTCCTCTCTCTCTTCATCTTTAAAAAGGGAATTGCACTAGCCTCTACTTCATAGTGATGTAGTGAAGATTAAATGAATTGATAGACAGATTAAGAGAATAGAACAGTGTCTGGCACGTAGCCAGCACTCTTCAGGTGTTGTCCTTGTTGTTGTGTTTTGACTATCACCGAATTATGATGAACAAAGTAATATCTAAAAACCATTAGTCTATGGTCTGGCACAAACTGGATGCTTCATATAAGATAGCGGTTTTCCTTCTTTAGTTTAAATGAAAATAAAAGATATTTATGTGACATAAATAATGAAATACTGGCTTTATTTCTGGAGAGACAATTTTCTAGGCACAGTAGAAAAGATGCATAGACAAGGAAAACAGAAATCATTCTATTTTATTTTTATACCTTCATAAATTTATTTTTGATAATCTATTTCTTTTGTCATTCCCAAGCCAGTCATTTATTTTTGCTTTCAACTGTATCCTGAATGTGATGAGAGTTGTCACTTCTTTGAGTATTGCCTAAAATAAAGCTCATTCTCCTTAGTCAGCCTGGCTTTCAGTTATATCCACAATTGGTCTACAACCAGCTTCTCCTTCTCCAACCTTATACTGTACCATAATCCAACTTGAATCCTCTTATTCCAAAATGACTTGTCCAGTTTTGACTCTTCTTCAAACACTTAAGACTTTTGCATTCTTGCTTCTATTTTTCAGCTCATGTCATTCTCCCCCAGTTGGAATATTTTTCCATGTTTTTTGTTTTTTCAAATCCAATCCATCCTTCAAAGTCTGGTTCAACTCTCACTTCTATGGAGATTTCTCTGATTACCTCATTCTGAATCCAGGTCTTAACTCTTCACTAATCTGTGAGCTATTTTAGGCTTATTCTCTATAATATGTAGCATGCTTCCTTGCTCAGAGTAGATGCTCAAATATATGTTGATGGACTGAATTCAGGGGTTATTATCCAATTATTCAACAACTACTTATATCCAAATACAATTGTGATTAATTATTTCCCTTTTCAAAAAGAGCCTCATCCCTCCTGATATCTGATCAGCTGTAGGAGACAGGCTATCCAGGCTTACCAAGCAGTGGTGTGTACCAGCACACACGCTTCCAGGTCAAGGGTGTCCAATGTATTCTCGTCTCTTGATCACTATATAGTTTGCAACAACACTGCTTCCGAAGAGAAAATCAAGTATTATTAGCTACTCAATGAGGTATAAAAGAGTCCTCGTGGCACAGTAGTTAAAGTGCTTGGCTACTAATCAAAAGATCAGTGGTTCGAACCCACCAGCTGCTCTGTGAAAGAAAGATGTGGCAGTCTGCTTCTGTAAAGATTTATAGCTTTGGATACCATATGGGGCAGTTCTACTGTGTCCCACAGTGTAGCTGTGACTTGGAATTGACTCAACTATAGTGAGTTTGGGTTTTGAGTTAAAAGGGTATAAGGTAATATTTTTTAATACTCTATATCTTCATCTGCAAAGATAGAATATCACTAGTCTCAAATGACTCTGTGAGAGTAGTCAGGAAGAAAATAAATGCCATCAGGTATAAAAGCTTTCATGCTTTTGATCAAACATACACCATATGGCATATTATTTTTTAATACACATACAAAGGGTATAACAAATGAATAAAGTGTAAGTCTTATTAAAAATCAGTTTAATAATACAATAAAATTATAGCACCATTTCCAATAATTGACAGTTCGATAAAAACAAAGTTTGTTCTTACAGAGGCTTTGAGGAAAGAGATAAGGGTGAGGGACAAGTTGTGTAATTCTTCCTAATGCTGCTATTAAAAAATTCAAAATAGTATCATTTGTAAAGGTCGACCAGAATTACCTGTCTAAGTGTGTACTGTTTAATCTGATCATCTCTGGAAGGAAAGAAGTATAGTTTACATGTCTAAGACTGTTGTTGTTGTTGTTATGTACTGTCGAGTCACACCTGACTCATAGTGACCCCTCCTTGAGTTTCCAAGGCAGTATCACTACGGAAGTAGATTGCCCCATCTTCCTTCCGAGGAGTGGCTGGTGGGTTTGAACTGCCAGCCTTCTGGTTAGCAGTCAAGTGCCTTAGCCACTATGCTACCAGAGCTCCCTGTCTAAGACTACTAATATATAATGCACTTAGCTTTATATTTTGGCATGGTAACTGATTATTACTTGGTTCTTAAATAATTTTAAAAGTGTAAGCTTACCAATTGTTCTTGAGGAGGTTGTTGAATTATACCTGTGTAAGATGATGGATCATAGTAAAGAAACTCCTCATCTGAACAGCTCTGTCATAAAAATGCGGTAGAGTATATTCAAAACAGAATGGCGAAATGGTTAAAGATATAAACAATGAGATTTAAGATATGACATCACTTGCGATGCTTAACATTGGTTGTGTCATTTCTTTGTATTTTAATTTAAGGGAACAAGTTTATAATCGTAAACTTATTGCATTTTCCTTATTACTTGCTCTAGGAATGAAATCCAAAGAGCAGGGTCAAGAATCTGCATGCCTTTGTTTCTGAAATCTATATGCAGAGACATAAGGAACTTCTTGTAAACTTAGAGGAGTAAAAATGGTGTCTGTGGAAATGTGTAGTGATAAAATTGTCATTGTAGTTCTAGTGGTAGGTACATCTCTATCATGGTTACATTATCATTGAAATATTTGTTGGTTGAAGAATGATTGATTAAAGCATGTTTAGAAATGGAAGTTTTTCCTGCTCAACTTGCTGCAGGGGACTTTTTAGATGCTTGGCCTAGCTTGCTTTCCCACATGAATAATTTTTTTTCTGCTTAACCAGATCTGTCTGTACTATGCCCTGGGAACAGATACTTACAATTATCCCTCTTTTTTCCTCCTCCTCCATTCCTTTCCTCCACTGCCAGTCTTTCTATTCCCCACTCCATGTTACTGATTTATGAACAAAAAGGTGAGAGACATTCACCACGCCTCATAAGAGAAAGATATAATTTAAAATCTACCTTGAATATCTTGAGATATCCAGACAGAAAGGAATTTAAAACAACACAAATATGATTATATATGAGATTTCAAAAAAAAAAAAAAAAAAAGGCAAATTTATAGAGACAGTACAAAGGTCTGTGATTACCAGGGGCTGGCAGGGGGTTGGGTGGGGAGGGAGAGAGGGTACATTGGTAGAGCCTAGGACATTTTACAGGTAGTGCAGTTATCCTGTATGATACTGTAATGATGGACACATGACGTTATGCATTTGTCAAAACACACAAGACTGTCCAACACAAAGAGTAACTATAATATAAGCTATGGACCTTAGTTAATAATAATGTGTCAATTTTGATTCATCAATTATAACCAATGTACCACACCAATGCAAGATGTTAATAATAAGGGAAATAGTGGGTGGGAAGTAGGTGTATATGGAAACTCTATGCACTTTTTTGTGTAATTTTCCTGTAAACCAAAACATGCTCTACCAAATAAAGTCTATTTTTAAAAAAAATTAATACAAATAAGAGAAAAAGGAGGTAGTAACTATCAAAACTCATTCAAGAGTACTCAAAATTTCACCATGTGATTATAAATTGAGGGGTGTACCCTTAACATTAGGAGCTCTGGTAGCATAGTGCCTAAGGCACTTGACTGCTAACCAGAAGCCTGGTGATTCAAACCCACCAGCCACTTGTCGGAAGGAAGGTTGGGCAATCTACTTCTATAGTGACACTGCCTCAGAAACCCAAGGAGGGGTCACTATGAGTGGGGCCCAACTCGATGGCACATAACAACAACAACAACCCTTAATATCAGAAAGAAGACTTAAGACTAGCGAAAAAAAAAAAAAGACCTCTTTGATAATAGACATGAGGCCAGGCAAAGTAAATTCTGAAATGTTTCTTCTTAGGAAGTTGCGTCAGGTGCTACTCACTAATCTGAGTTCATTCACCCCTCCTGTTTTGCTAAACGCTTTCAGTGTCCTGGAGCATTTTCCTTCTAAATTTGTTATTGGATTTTATGATTAATAACATTATATACTGTTAATTAGCTTCAAAACCTTACACTCATTGGGCATCTTCCTTGCAGTAAAAGTATATCACATAAGTGTGTTACCTGAGACTGCAAGCCATGGAATTGCTCTTTAGTTAACTTCTTTTGCAATGACTCAGTTGCTGCTAAAAAGAAAATTTAGAACCAGTTCAATAACACAGTTTTCAGTCCCCTTTTCTCTTAGTTCATCTCATTGCTTCAGAAACTTTTAACTATTTTAAATTCGGACTATGAAAGTAAGGCAAACAATGACTTCTGCAAATGGCATTGTCATCTCATGACTTTGGTAAAAGTAAGAAGGCAGGAGAACAAAGCAGGGTGGAGAAGCTACACTACTATCACCCTTGGGTATTTAA